AAACCCAGCACAGGGGAGTCACGGTACAGTAGTGTCGTGGCATAGTTGGATCAAGTATAATAATATCTGACAGTATTAAAATCACTAAAAAAAAAAAACGCTTCGATGTAAATCTTTAGATAGTGTTTAATTTATAGTTATAGCATTATAAAGTTAAAAATGTAAAAAATAAAATCGAGAATTATCACACAATAATAGCATTTGGTAGCCATTTTCACCATGAAGATAAAATAAAGTCCGAATTTTTTTTTTCCATGATAAATTATATTATATTAGCTTTAATTTAAGATAAATATAAAAGTCTCAGACTTTCCGGAACATTTTCAAAAGTTAAGTTGAAAAAATTAATTTTTTGTGAAAAAGTTGTCATTTTAAATCCCTCCTGTGGGCAGGTTAAGGGTCAGATTTATAAAAAAAATATACCAAATGAAAGGTAATGATATCATGCATCTATTTAAAAAAAATTATATTGATTTATTTATTTTTAAAAAATTTATGGCAATTTTAAGTAAAAAATATTGAAAAAATTTCGAAAATTAGCGATTTTTAAATTTGTAATTTTTTTGGAGGTTTCCCCCATTTACAGGGAACGAGGGAAATTTTTTCAATTTTTGAGGGTAATGTCTTCGACTAGATACAATTTGTAATATTTTGACTTATCATTGAAAGAAATCGGTTCAGTGAGAGCTGAAAAAGTGGTAACAGACACAAAAAAAAAAACAAATCATAGTAAAACCAATACCTTCTCAGCTTTGCATCGAAGCTAAAACTCTTGTACATCTTTAAGTTCGTCAGGTGTCAATGTAAAATAAACATACAAATTTTTAAACAGTATATTATTTTAGCCATCCATATAGCTCGATGGATAGCTCCAGGAGATCTAAAACGAGTTTTTCCAAAGAATTCCATTCCAACACAATTAACATAACTCTTTGTAATTATCACATGAATGATTAATTTTTAATTGATTTTCACAAAATTCAATAATATTTTGTACATTTTATGTTATTTTTTTAAACATTTCATCATCTGTAATCATAGTACTATATGAATTTTTATTAATATATGTCCAATTATTTGAAAACCATTTAAATAAAACAATCACTGAACCAGTGGACGCCGACATAAGCTTATCAAAAACTCGACTGATAACTACTTCGTGTATGTGATGTCTGCATGTAAAATTTAAAAAATCCTTAACTAATTTATTTTTTATCAAAGTGCATGCACCGTTTAACCTTCCTGTATAGAAGCTGTAGTGTCAAAACGTATCATAGTTGTGCGATCAACTAAATCCCTGTTTAATAATAATTCGATAGCATCTGTATCTGATTGTCCGTTTGAAATAAATAATCATGGTACACCCAGAAGCTTTGTAAATCCGTCACCAGACACTATTATAGCTAATGTTTTGACAAATTTTTTTTTATCAGATGATACATTTTCCCATCCACATGGACTTTTTTCTGATATAATTTTCCTATCACAAATACAAACCCTGCTTATAGTGTCTTTACTTATTGACACGTCTTTTATTTCTTCACCTGAATTTATTTAAGTCGCTACTAAAATATGTGGCATTTCAGTTAGATACGATAGTTCTATCAATATAGTATACTTATTGCTACTTTCCTGTAGGCTGAAAAATTTTTACATTTGTGAATTCTAGATGAAATATGTAATGTTGCAGAATTTGTACTAATAAATCTTATTACTTAGTTGTGTGTGCATTAGGTGTAATGTATTTCTTGATAGTTGTGTATGTGATAATCTTCACTAGTCAATCGGTCCAATATTGTTGTATTTTCCCCAATAAATTTGTCCAAAGTTGGAGTCACACGATGCCATTATGACTGGATTTTTTTCTTCTCAACTAGATTACTGAGGTGACAAGTTGACTTGTGTGTATATGTTCATGTTTTTAATAGTAAAAAAAATACGTTTCTGGTTTTTTTTCTGCAACTAATTTTTTTGTTGTCCTCCGATTTTTTTTTTTATAAAATAAAACGTCGAGATGTCAATGATGGTGTGAGTCGCAAACTATGGTCGGTGGTGGGCTGGCACTCCTCAAGAAACAATGAATAACGACATAGCGATATAGCGATATAGTGTTAATAGGAGAAAATAGGGAGGAAATTAATCAAAGGCTAGAGGTTATGGATATTAGCTCTTGAAGAAAAGGGTTTCAGAATAAGTAGGAGTAAAACAGAGTATATAGAGTACAAGTTTGATAAAGGAGAACACAAGGTAGATCAAAAAAGGATTTTAAAAGGATTATAAAAAAGTAATTCAACAAATGAAACGCCAAGTAAACGCGATAAATACGAGTAGTGAAGAGTAAAAAAAATGATCACGGTGAAATTCGGTATTGGATTGGTCGGGTTTGGTTAATTTTAATAAATTAAATAATTTTATTGATTTATTTTTACATCTCCCCGAGATGTAAAAATTGTCTATTTATTGAAATAAAAAGAAGTTAAATTTAAAGTAAAAATGTTTAAAAAAAAAAGTAACAATTGCAAAAAATCTACAGGCTTCGCGTAGAAGACGATCGAGCGTCTCGAACCGTGAACCGAAGGCGTTCGCAGTTTTATTCGTACGCGTCCATTATTGAATTTATTAAACAATAAATTGTTAGTTTTTAAAAAAACAACTGCGCGTTATTAGCTATCAAACGTGCACGGGATGGGGCACCGAGCGTCGAACCGGTTAGACGAAAAACGATAGACGCGTACGCGCTAAACATCACCGACGGCAGCGGTGTCGTTATTTTCATAACAAACGCGTACGACAGCAATCTTGTACGGAGATGCCTTTGATGTCGGGAAATACGGTTGCATTGTTGACCGTGGACATGATTAGGAATTCTGAGGTGACGCGATTCTACGGAAAAGAAAAAGTCATATCGTTTTTTACCAAAATCGGGTACGTCAACCGCGAGCTGTTGTGCACGACCGACATGGTAAGGTTAGGTCGACCCGAAAGCCTCCAAACTGCCGGGACTTTTTATTTCCCATTGAAAACGTCAGCGCGAAAACACGCAAAATAGTTATGAACGACAACTGCTTTTAGTCACGTTTGGGGTTAAGGTCGGTTCCGATCTCTCCTCAAAGCTACTGCCACGAGCCCCTCCTTTATCGTCTATACCGCCGCGACGATTCAAGTGAACCGTTTTCAGTAACATCTGATATTGACGGCCCTTCCCCACGCCAAGTGACTGTAGGAAATAGAGCCCGTTTAAAAAAAACAAAAACCGTCACTAACTAGTCTCTTGGCGGTCGGGTGGTAAATTTCCAGAGAAACCAGTGGTGTCCTCAAAAATATATATTTATATCTTAAATATGAATAATATTTAAATAAAAAGTGCTCAACCTCGAATCGAATTTTCCATTCCGCGCGCCGTGAGCGTTTAAAAATTTTCGTTGTAAACTCTGCATTGTCGCCGGCTGTGTTTAAAAGGGTGAAATTTTCCCGGTCGAACTGTCTTGTTCTGAGACGGCAGCGTTCCGGGGGCGCCTTGAGGGTTTCGTCGCCGTCGGAATGTCGGCCGTTTGCAGCCGACCTTTTTTTGTCCACGCACACACACGTTTATAGGGTCACGTTATTAGACTATTTATTTGTTTTATCGTTCCGAGTGCATTTATTGAAAGTTATCGCGCACCATGACGTGTAAAAAGCGATGAGTATCGCGCAACGGAAACCTTCGTATATTGTCGTTGATGTTGACTTTTTATTATTTCCTTCACCTTTTTTTCTTTCTGAACGTATTTTTATTACGCCGCATATACTCTTATGAGGGGGGGAGTGAAAAATATTTTTCTCCGTAACGTGACGGTATAATTTTCACAAGTAACAAAAAATTTGTCTTTCACGCGAGCTTGCCCGCACGAATTATGCACCCGCATCGAGGACACAGCGCGGACAACGCGTATTGCGTTGAAAACGTACCGCCGCCTCTTTTTAGAAGAGTACACCTGAAAACATTTTCGAGTCGTGTATTGTTTGGTAATTTACTTTTTTTTTCATCATTATTTTTCTTATTATTATTATTAATATTATGTATTATTATATATTTTTGTATTTAAAATAAATGTAAAATATATCGACATAATTTATACCGTGTGTTTAATTAATGTGAAAAAAAAACAATAATAAACTGAATGGATATCATTTAGTTTATTATTGTTCTTTTTCTCCTCCGAAGGCGGCAACGATGCCTTTGAGAGCAATAAAAAAATCGATCGTCACGTATCTAAATCTAGAGCGCTATTTTTATTGTGTTGATTTACGTCCACCAGATCGTCGTTTCGACTCGTCTTCACAACGATCTCGATCACGTCCTTAACGTCGGTGTCGGCGATTGACGGTGTTGGCGTTCCGAAAAGATTGTCGCGCAGTCCTCGACTCGTCGACTCGACCGACAAGTGGCGATGAAACAAACACGTTTGATCTGCAACGACGACAATCGACACGCCGCTTTCGCGCGTTTGCCGCAGTTGAAGAATCGTTTCGTCCTCGATTGTCGACCGAACGCAGACGAAAATAGTCGTTCCGGTCCGTACGGTTTTCAACGAAACACCGTATTCGCTTGATACGTCTTCACATTAATCGCGCGCAAACAATACTGTTGTGGAGGGGTTAACCATTAATCATTAAAATGGAGAGGTATTATTATAGGAGCTATTATTATCATAAGGGGTATATCTATAGAAGGTATTATTTTTGGGGGCTCTATAATAAATAAGCTTTGGAAATATGTAGAAAACTATATTTATCGCCTCCCGCGCGAAATGACAAATATCACTTTAACGTGTACGTGAAAGTATTTTTTTGGCCGGGCAAAAAAAAAACACTATCCTAATTGCACATATACACACACTCACTCACTCCTACGATTATACAATTTTGGAAATAACAATACGCGGAGAGTAACGTTGCCCACTAAACGTATACTTATTTTGTTGGTTTTCGACTCGACAGAACAATAAAAAAATAATAAATACAGTGAAGAGTGTTGTATTTTTTTTTATAAAGCTACAAATGGCCGCCGTACACAACTGTTATTACAATCTAATAGAGTTATAAACACGAACATTTAAACTCGAACGACAACGATTCCGAGATGGTAATTGTTGCGCTCGAACTTATTACTTATAAAATAATTACTATAAAATTTTACACTAAACAATATACGGTCTCAAATGACTCGCGAAATAAATGTTAATCTTAAGACATTTGCGAACAAAGTAGAAGCCGATATTAAAAAACAACAACACTATTCTTGTTACTTAATACGTAATTATTATAGTTATTATAGTAGTAATAGTTATAATAATAGTAGTAGTAGTAGTATTGTTGCGTTAACGTTTCGCAATGGCGTTGGAAATAAATTTAGGACAAGAAAAAACGAAGAAAAAAAAAACAACAACAACTCGACATTTAATTTGAATTCCGTCGGGTCTATCCCAGAAGCCTGTACAGGACGTACGGATAGGCGTAGTGGTGTTGTTGTTGCTGTTGCCGTTGCTGCTGCAGCTGCCGAACGGAACGGATCGCGTGGCGACCGCGTCTTGGACCGTCCGCGGTGTACGCTTCGTAGTCGAGTCCGTGACGCTTGACGGCGGCGGTGGTTCGAGGCGACGGTGTTGTCATAATAGTAGTAGTAGTAGTCGTTGTTCCTTCGGTAAATGTTTCCGTCGTCGACCTGTCGTCATGTTGCGTAATAGCAGCGGCAGTAGCCGTAACATCAACACCGGCAACGACGGCGGTAGCGATGACGGTCCGAGAGGCGTTCGGAGTGCTGCTCGCCGCCGCCATCGACGTTCCGGTTGGGCCCGGACGGCGGTCGTATTCGACGGGAATCTGGGGCAAATCGATTTTCTTGTAAACGCGAATCGCCGGCACGTTATCGGCAGTTTGATTTTTCGGCGTGCCAGCAAAGGTCGAAGATCCGGCGACGGTAGTATTAACAACAGTCGCGGTCGCAACGGTGAATGGTACCCGTGAAGGGGGCCGTGTCGTCGCAGACATCTCGGGATCGGTTGGGTCGACAGTGATGGCGCGTACGAGATTTCTTTTGGCGGACCCGACCAGCGGAACGGTGCGGAACGTCGTTTCAACGTTTGGAGAAGCGGTGGTCATTGTACCGGCTAGTATTGTATTAATATCCGGAGATGCAGTAGCAGTAACTGTAGCAGTAGTAGTAGTGATTGCAGTAGCAGTAGTAGTAGTAGTTGCAATAGCAGAAGCACTAGTGGTGGTAACGTTGGTTTTTTTGGCGGTCGTCGTTGTCAATAATAGTGGCGAGAATTTGCTTGCCGCGGAAGTCGACGGTACGCGATTAGCGATCGACACCGTAGCCGCTGTAGAAGTAGACGTACTGGAAGTGGCTGTGGTCGACGACGTGCGATTGGATACGGTAGTGGTAGCAGAAGTAGTAGTAGTAGCAGTAATAGCAGCATGAGCAGTAGTAGTTGTAGTAACAGTAGCAGCAGCAGTAATACTAGCACTAGTAGCAGGAATTGTATTAGTGGTGTTGGTGGTGATGATGGTGGTACTCGACGGAGCGATTGGTTCGATTAACGAGGGTTCTATGCCGTTGGTGTCCAGATCCCGGTCGAATAGCGGTCCGGCGGGTGGCAACACGGCCGTACCGCCATCCGTCGCTCTGGAAACGGACCGGTACGCCTTGTCATCGGCGTCGTTGTAATGGGTCATAGTGGCCATCTCGATGGCGTAGTCTTCGATCGTGTCTGCAACACGTTAAAAAAAACGAATCGTTGCGTTAATTTTATTTCAACACTCGACTTTTACTTTATTTTAATAAATGCACAAAATTGTAAAATTACTACTACTACTATACTATACGTTCAAGTTTCAAAACACAAATGACATTTCGTCGTTGTACCTGCCGTGTCCTGGGTGATTTGAGTTTTAGTCTTGACCGTTTCTTCCGTCGTAATGCGTTTCAGCGGCACTACGTTTCGGACATTAGACGACGATGACGTTCTATTGAGACCCGGACAGCTGAGTGCTTCGACAATTTCAGATCGCTTCTACACAAATAATAATAACAATTATAATAATAATAATGATAATAATTTCTATTCGATGTCGATATCGTAATATAATTAAAAGTCGAACCGAGAACTAAATTACTAACACTACCGACAAGCAAATTAGTAATATATTTGGTATATTAACAATGGCATTGAAATCGAAATTAAATTTCACTCTTTAAATAATCATTAAAAAATAACAATAATGATAGTAATTAAACAACGTTCTAGTTTATAAAACCGTGCAACACTCTCGAGACGGTCGCGCGGCATACCGTGTTTCCTCTGCAAGCCGCGCTTTTCCACACACCACCGGCGCACCGTTTGGTCAGCTCAATCGCGGCCCGTTCGGGCAGAAACGCCACCGTCAGCGTCTCGACCGAATCGGTCATGCAACCGCTGTTGTTGGCGGCCCACGAAGGCACTGAAACATTATCAAACGCGCATAATTAAATCAATCAACTAGTCGGTGAACAGCATAGAAACACAACATGTGTATATAAATATATTATTTGTATATATGTATATTGTATATATACATGTTTTGTATTCCGTTATAGAATGTCGTGTCATAACAATACCTGGTAGTTCGCAGACAAACGACGCCACTTCGGGTCCTCCGCAACGCATGGTGTGCCACTTGAAATTGGCCGCCGGGTCGGTGACGACGCATAGCGGTTCTGGAGAGCGGGGAATCTCTTCTCTAAAGCGTCCGCCGTTGGCCAGGGGCCGGTAATTGCTGCCGGTCAAAAAAAACAAGCCGTGTTTATCCATTTGTCGGCAAGTGGTAAATAGTGGGCGGGATAGATGAGAGGGTTGTGTGGGAGGGAAATAAAAAACCCGTGGGATGCGACGCTCAACACATCATGCACACGGGGTACGTATGTATACGCTTGTCATTTTGCGCGCACGATGACGATAACCGTCCCACAGTCACCGTCGTCGCGCATTTTCAACAAACTCAACTCTACTTACGTCCAGGCAAATTCGCCGGCGTCGCTGTTACGTTTCAAACCAATCCAAACGTTTTCGGCCGCGTCCAGTCGTTTCAGGTGCGTCCGGACCGCTTCGTACTGATCGCTTGTCTCCACTGTAATACATACATACGATAAAAAAAAAAAATATCGAAAACAATTAGAAAAACGACACGACAGTCGGACATTCGAAACGAAACCTCCGAGTCCGACCCGAGCAAACTCGAGAGTTTCGTTTCGGAATCGGACGAGCGCGTTTGCCGCCATTAAAGAGAATCGTATGGTGTCCGCGAACGCGATACGCAGTATTGTTGGTGGCTGCGGCGTCGGCGGGCACATCGGGTTTACGCTCGTCGTCGTCCCTCAGCGGGGCACATTCGAAACCGCAACCGGCGTGCGTGAGTGTGTGTTGACTTTGAACGTCCGAAATCGTGATTGAGAAACAGAAAGAAGTTTCCGTGCCCACGCGTGTCGCATCGAGTGTGAGGTGATGCCGACTCCGAAGAGAGAGATTGAGAGAGTGATTAAGAGAAAGACGTTTCCGGTGTGAAATGATTTTTTGGTCCGTCGGACGACGAGGCCATCACTGGGCGAACCGGCGCAACCAATCGCCGGAGAAAACCGATCGGGGTCGTTTGCGCGATAACCCCATGAGTCGGTTTCGTTGCCATCATTTTCAATGACCCCCCCGTCCGATCTAACAGGAACTGATGACGATATTTTTCATTCCCCCACGACGCCACAGACCACTAAGAAGCGACATGGAATGACGGAAACACGTTCGACAGATAACGTTTTCCCGAGATCGTTGTCGCACCGCTGCCGCCGCCTAATGTAGGAGCGCGAGTTACAACGCGTCGTCGTCGTCTCGACGTACCTGTGGCCAACTGCGCGTGATGAAACTGGCATACGGCGTCCGCTTCGAACCACGTGACCCTGTCCCGGAACAGTCGGTAGAAAACCGGGAATTGGTTTCGCGGCAACAGCCAAGAGTTGACGGTGCTGCCGGTGACGCTGACGCTGACGTTGGCCTGGAACATTCAATAAAACGTGCTTTTCATAAAAAAACGACTCTTTATCGGTCAAAAAAAAAAAAAACCATAGTTATTTTTAAAGAGTTAATTATTTAGCAAATTGTCGTTACCCCACCACCGCTGCACCAACAACACCATAAACACGACCACCGCGAACGCGCTTTCTTGTACGCGCCCGCGTAAATCGAAACGAAAAATTGCGCGCGAGTCCGCTGGAGACGTGGGGTATCGAACGAGCAGAATACGATGCCGCTGTCGTTTGATTCGCGGGTGGCCGGCGGGGAATGGGGTTGATTCGAGAGGAAACTGTAGAATAAAAAAAAAAAAAACCATTCCAGTCGATGCGAGGCAAAAAACTGTACTGTCTACCGCTGCAACGTCTGCGAATCGGATGAAGAATAGTAATAACGACTAGAGTGGCAGCAGCAGTAGTGGTAAAAAATAAAATGGTAATAAAAACGGCAGAGTTAAGATACTGTCGGCGGCTCGAAATGTACGCTACGCACAATAAAACGTGTGTTCGTTTGATTTGTATTTCCAATGGTCGTCGCGTTTGATGTATTCTTTTCGTCGCCATGCGGCCAACATATAGCTCCCGTTTACGGTGGTATACAGCGTTTATGGTCAAGCAATAAAAATGATCGCACGACGTCAATCGATGGAAAAATGCCGTTTTAAATCCTGCGACGACCGTGGCCACCGTTTGTTTGCGCCATTCGATGTGGTTTCGCCGAACCGTCGGACCACCTAAATGGTCCGGCAAACGCTATTAGTGGTTGTTTTTTTTTTCGATTTACACCGCGTTCGAAATCGATCAGTTTACGCATCCTTACGGTATTCGTCGTTACATCGCGTTAGAGTCACGACAAAACGACCGACGCCGGACGAAACTAATTAACCCGTCAGCGTTATTGTTTCACGCGCAAACTTTCGCTCGCGTCTAGTTCCGTTGCAACGACATCATCCGCTCTCCATAAACCGAAGCGTCTCGCCCGACGCGTCCGATCGTCGGGGCGGCGTTCTCTTGTTTCGCGCGAGTAGACTGCAAATTTTTCGCATGCCCGTACCGACGAAAGGAGTAGAGGGCTATCTAACGAAAAAAATGTACAATTAGCAAAATAATGAATCCCTTAAATAAATATATACTTTATTATATATGATAAAGTAAAAAAATATTTTCTTGTATTATTGTAACTTTTCGGTTTTTAATGACTAACTTTTTCCAGTCTAACCGTGTAAACGGAAGAAATGGAATGTGCAAGGTATTCGCGACAAAGATAGTAGAAAATTATTTATCAGTTTGTTTACGCGTAGAGAAGTGTTGGATAATATATGTATATTGTATATATTATACTTTTATCAAAAACTAAAAAAAGTTTCAGTCGTATCCGAGATAATTAAATACGCATCGCTAGATTGTTCATATTCCGACACGCTCGGGTAAAAAAACCCATCACAGGGGGGTCGTGGCACAGTGGTGACGTGGCATAGTTGGATTAAGTATAATGGTATCTGACAGTGATTAAAATCACTATAAAAAAAAAAACGCTTCGATGCAAATCTTTAGTAGTGTTTAATTTTAAAAAATTGGTGGATTATTACAAATGCTACATGATCTGCTATTTTCTTATTGATATCCTAAATGAAAAAGGGATTATTAAAAAATTATATTTCTCATAAAAAAATTGTGTTGATCCATACACTTTTCAATAAGTTATAGCATTATAAAATTAAAAATGATAGTATATGGTATTAAAAAAAAAACTTCAAAAAGAATCTAAAGAAAAACATAAATTATACATTTTTTTACACTTTTATGCTCATGGCGAATTTCAATTTCCGCCCTCGCGTCTTGCAGTAAATAGTAGTAGTCGTCATTTTTTACCATCGCGACACACTGCAGTGTTTGCAGCGATAATGACCGCGGGCGATAAGAAACGCACAACTGATGCCACCTCCTACTCCTATTCGTCCCCGTCATCGTAACCGTTACGCCGTTGCGGGCAGCACGATAAAAGCGGCCCCGGAGACGTTCACACGGTTCGTCCGAATGGGCAACAAATCGAAATCGTTCCATCCGGACGAACCGTCATACGCTTAGCGAGGGGGTATGTTCACGACGGCCTGACGGCGATGAAGCGATTTGATTTCGATTGCCCCCTGTCGATTACCCTCGTTGGGGGGAGGTAATCGACGCGCCGCCGTCGTATCCGTCTGGTGTTTCTTCGGACTGTCATGTACGGCCTGCCGTGGGGCCGGTCAAACGCAACGGTCCGGACGATCTCCGAGCTTTTATTTCAAAACTAATCGATTACCCAACCCCTCCCCCTGGACCGCCGACGAAACCACAACGCGCGCTTTCGAGTCTGCGATGTATTTTTGTTCGTGGTATTCGTTTTGTACCGGCGACGCGACGACAAATGCCGAACACGATAATAACAAGGCGACGTATTCTAATAATTTACCACTACTATAGTAGTATTTATATTACATCTCTCGATTCATAAATCAACTGTTATAGAGTAGTTGATTTATCGTTATTATATTATGTCGAGAAAATTTTGTACTCGATTTCTACATAATACGAACCCATTGGTTTTTTGGTTAGTTAATGTATTAATTACTGAACATTTTATGCAGTATTGTTACAGTACAGTTGATACTTTATTGTTTGTATATACACACATACTGCACAAACTAAAATCTACCACTAAACTAAATATTTATCTATTATCGTTCTTGTATCCATGTTATACAATAATAGTTACGACGTCGACGATGATAACGAGGTGTACTCACCGATGTGGCAGCCGACGGATCGGCCAGTGTCAGCAGCGGCAGCAGTGCGAGAACTACGGCCGTGCAGTACCGGCGGCGGCGAAACGCTCCCATGACAACGGCGATGCTGTACAAACGTGTGCTGACGGCGGGGTCCGCGAAACGACTGTGAACGCGGTCGCGAGTCGGACGGCGGCGACAGCGGACCGTGGAGACGAGACCACCACAAGCGGTGGGCCGGGAGCGAACGGCGCCCGGGCGGCGCTTTGCCTTCGGTGTCCCGCGTCGCGCCGTGCATCGGATAAAACCGCTATTGAAAAATAATATCCACTGAATCCAGTGTTTACACGGTATATAACCTATTGTGTATAGGCGTACTGTATATGACATGGCATATATAGATTGGGTATAGAACCTATATAGGTCATATACAACCTATATACACTGCAGTGTATAGCATTATACTATACGAGTATAATATTGTTTTACTTTTATTTCTTACGGCGCCGTGTATTGTAAAGGAATGAAAAAACTTGCAACAAAAAAAAGTTATTCGCGCGTATGTTATGTTGATTTGCGCGACAACTGCTGCGGTGTTCGATTTTGTACGCGTTATACGACAAACGCCGTTTTCTTCGGAGCGATTATTTCAATAGGTCACGCAGATTCCGCGGTCGACCCGCAATCCCTTCTCTGATGTACCAGGGATCAATACGCGTTTTCGACGGGCGGCGGACGCGAGGGCGAGTGGCGGTGAGGCGTACCCGTTTGGATTGTGTATATGTTCCAGGCGGAATACATACACACTCGTTAATTAGCTCCGATGCGAACCCGAGAAGAAATTAATTATTTTTATCGTGAGGGTCGTATACGCCGTGGTGTCAAACCGCTATTTTTTATTACTCTCGTATGTATTGATATTGTATTCGCTCATAGTGTAAATACGTGTATTAATACAAACATAAATCCATTTGTAGTCGTATTAAAGTAGACCAGCCCGGTTTTCGCCAACTCACCAATACCATGGTTAATAATCGATAGACACGGTATTAAAATAGTAGTAAAATCAAAAAAAAAAAAAATGATAGTATATGGTATTAAAAAAAAAACCCAACACAGTGGTGGCGTGGCATAGATGGATCAAGTATAATGATATCTGACAGTGATTAAAATCAGTATAAAAAAAAAAAACGCTTCAATGCAAATCTTAAGATAATGTTTAATTTTAAAAAAATTGGTGGATTATTCCAAAAGCTACATGATATGCTATTTTCTTATTAATATCCTAATTAAGATAAAGTATGTCGAATGAAAAAGGGATTATTAAAAAATATTATTTCTCATAAAAAAATAATGTTGATCCATACACTTTTCAATATGTCATAGCATTATAAAGTTAAAAATGTAAAAAATAAAATCGATAATTTTCACACAATAATAGCATTTGGTAGCCATTTAAAAAAAAATTATATTACGATAAAAAAAAAAACTTAATTTTCAAAATTTAATTAAAAAATTTTGGTTTGTAAAAAATTATTTTAATTGCAAAATGTTATTTTTAAGACGCAAATCAAAAGCTTTTACTATTAGAAAATTTATTTTAATTAATTTTTCTTGTATTTCTTTGAGCTCATGCACGACTTATATTTATTAGTTTTATGTGTATTTACATTTATATAATCATTTTTCTGAATTGAATTTTTTTATTATTAATATTACAATACATTTAATTATTATGATACGAGTATATACAATTATTCTGAATCTGTTGAACATTGATTTTTCTCCCAACAATCTTTGCATACTGTTTAATATACGCAATGTATTTATTACATGTTTTGTTTTTATTTGTTCCGTATCATCGAGTAGTGGAAATTTTCAATAGATTATTTATTTTTAAAACTTAATTGCACAGTCGGTGGCAGATTCACATAATTCCGATTCCACAATATTATATCAACTATAACATTGCATTTAGAATAAAACGATATTTTGTAGCGTGGGGGTAAATATGACCCATTTCAATTTTGATGAATATTATAAGTCATACATTTTTTTTTTTTAAGGTTTGAAGGTCAATATTACTATAAAAACCATCTTCTAAATTTATATCTATGTACACCTTTTATGCAATATAATCCATCCGTTTTTATTTATGTGGGGGTATGCTATACCCCCACGCGACTGTTTAAGGGTTAATATTATTTTACTGTTTTTTTTTGTGGCTGCGATTTATTTTTCCTATCTTCACATAACCTACTTTTTTCAATGATACGTCATATTATTACAATTCGTATTTAGTTGAGGATATTACCTCAAAAATCGAAAAAAATCCTTTAAGCAAATAAAAAGTAGCTTAACTAGCTTTATCCATACAAACTATAAAAATCAATCATTTATAATAATTTTAAAGTATTTATTGTCGAATTAGATTTGATATGATAAAAGTATTCAACTAAAAAAATAAATAATTTTACTTTGTAATTAATTAATTTTTTAACTCTATTTGTGTGTGCAACTACTAATCTATAATATTCCAAATTTGTTTGTAACATGTTGCTATATAAATCATAAATCTAAAAAAAAATGTTATTTAATTGCATCTGAATTTAACAATGGATTTTTACAATTATAATCAAATATTATAATACTCTCAATTGAGTCGATCTTTTTTTTTATTGTTTTTTTTAGTTAAAGTAAATCATTAAAATTAATTCAGTTCTGCATATTTTAATTGTAGAATCTAACACCAAAAGTTAATTAGAAATGATTACTATGATTTTTATTTTAAGTGACCTATTGCGATAAAAACTTTAAAAAAATCGAGCTTTTCTGATAAATATACTGTAAATAATAATTATAACATTTCCTGACTGCAAATTCATCTTAACAATACCATTTTTTCTATTTAATGATGTCAATTTCATACTTGCAAGTTGAGCTAAAAGTTATAGCAATAAATTCATTATTTTATTTTTATTATAAACTTTCACAAAAAAAAGTAGGTTAAAAATGATGAATCTACCAATTCCTTAAAATTAAACACTATTTACAGATTTGCATCAAAGATGTCAGATATCATCTATACTAGTCCCAACTATGCCACGCTCACAATGTGCCGCGACCCCACTGTGCTACTGTTTTTTAATTCGATGCTTTAATTTTGAAAAATACTTGTGAAAAATTACTCACAATATTACTTTATAAAACAAAATTTCGATTTTTTAGTTAACTTAAGGTTGTTTTGTATAGTTTTTAAGGATATTTTATATTAAGTTAATTTTACAGTTTGGTGGGGTTGTGGTAAATTTTCGTATTTAAAAAAAAATTATAAAACTCTAAAAATATAAAGTAATTTTCTAAAGAATTAATAAAATTGAAATTTTTTAATTTTTAAATAATTAAGTTTTTCTTTTGTTTATTGTTTTTCAAAAAAGAAGACAATTATAATTTTCGCTATGATATTTTTTGTAATTAGTTTTATGATAACCAAAGAATAAATTTTATTGAACTAAAAATAGGATGCATTATTTTTACTATTGGTAATGTTTCATTGGTTTCTTTTATAAGAAACCAACTATAGTCACCTATCATTGCTTCATCCTAGATCGCTTGGTAACAACGTTTTATATAATTTCTTTGTTATTAAAAACGTTCACCATGCTCATCGCTGTCATTTCCACGATTTTCAGGAAAAAATTCTAAGTGTGTACGAAGAAAATATATTTACAATGACATGTTCACCTCTATTTCCGATAAAATTAAAATATATATATGTATCTTTTATACAGAAAATAATAAAATTATAAAAAGTACTGTTTACCTATTTTTGAATAGTTTATCGATAAATCGTCTACTATTTCTCTATAATTTAAAATTTTGATGTTTCCTAAAAAATAATTTACAAACAAACGAAACGAGTTCCATCTTAAAAGACTCGTCTTTTGATAAAGTTAACAAAAAATTTAATTCGTTCATTAGATTTTTGATTTGTGATCCTATGAAAATACCTTCTTTGATTTTTGCATCAGGCAAATGTGGAAACACAGTTTTCAAATAAATAAATGAATTTCCTTTTTTATTTAAAGCTTTAAAAATTTTAAAAAGTCCAAGTTTAGTATGTAAAGGTGTTAGGATTATTCTATTAGTATTAACAAGAGGATTGAATTTGTCATTTTCTTTGTCCACTGTAAAGTTTATTCGATCTGGCCAATACTTTCGTGTGTAATATTTTTAACGTGCTCGACTATCCCTTATTACACAAAAAACACATTTATTTTATGTACCCTGGTTGCAAGCCAGTTACCATTGCAATGACTTTAAGGTCTGCGTGAATTTTCCAATTGTGTTGATTGTAGTTGATTAGAGAAAGTAATATGGCCATTGATACTTTCATATTTACAACATGCGCTAATGGAACTGAAGGTTTGCTGTTTCCTTGGTGCAATAAAACTGCTTTCAGACTTAGTTTATTGCTATCAATAAACAAACGCCATTCGGTAGGATTATATGGCTCACTAAATTCTTTAAACAACCCGTAAATATCGTTACAATAACAAACATTTTTTTAGCTTCGATGCGAAGCTGAGAAGGTATTGGTTTTACTAAGATGTGTTTTTTTTTTTTTTGTGTCTGTTACCACTTTTTCTCAGCTCTCACCGAACCGATTTCTTTTAATGATACGTCAAAAGATCACAAATCGTATCTAGTCGAAGACATTACCCTCAAAAATTGAAAAAAATTCCCTCGTTCCCCGTAAATGGGGGAAACCTCCGAAAAAATTACAAATTTAAAAATCGCTAATTTTCGAAATTTTTTCAATTTTTTTTACTAAAAACTGCCGTAACTTTTTTAAAAATAATCATATCAATATAATTCTTTTTTTTTATAGATGCATGATGTCATTACCTATCATTTGGTATATTTTTTTTATAAATCTGACTTTTTACCTGCCCACAGGGGGGGATTTAAAATGACAACTTTTTTACAAAAAATTAATTTTTTCAACTTAACTTTTGAAAATGTTCCGGAAGGTCTGACACTTTTATATATATCTTAAATTAAAGCTAATGTAATATACTTTATAATAGTAAAAAAAAATTTCGTACTTTATTTTGTCTTCAGGGTGAAATTGGCTACCAAATGCTATTATTGTGTGAAAATTCTCGATTTNTGTCGTACT